TTTGTTTATATTCGCTGTCACTGATGGATCTTTGTGCTGATACCAGATGTTCAGTTTGGGTTCCAAAAATAAACCAGGTGTCTGTGTTTACATAAAAGAAGCTAATCCTGAAACTGACAGAAACACATCTGTGTTCTCAATTTTCAAGGCTAAACTAAATAGTTTAGAAGGAAAGGGCACCCTGGCTGCTCTAGGTTTATGTTAGCCCTGAAATATATATAAAATTGGCACACTGATATTTATATATAATTGTGTTATCAATCAGTTTCAAATTTTTAACAGTTTGGGGCTAAAGCTGGATAAAATTTTCACATCACAAATTGTGTAGAGTGAAATCTTAAATATGGAGGTTATAGTAATGATTATGCTTTTATCAGAAATTAGGAAAATTTCCTGGGGCTGTAAAGTCTACTGAGTCAACTTCCTGATAGAAGAATCTAAATATGGCTTCCTATGTTGTCGCTGGACTAAATCTCCAGGCATCCACAGAATGCTACCATCCCCTGCTGGCCAGTCCTGGAAAGACAGTCTCATAACCAAGAGGTGTTTTTTTTCTGATCAATGGCAAATTCACAACCATTTCCCTCCTACAGTATTTATTATTATGATCTCAGATAGTAAAGCAGAGTCAAACAAAATCCCCATAAAATTCTCCTTCCATCAATAATATTTGGAATATAAAACCCAAAATTTCAGATAATTCCAAATTGTTGTATTTAAGTACATTTTTGAAAATAAAGTTCAAAATTACTTACTGTAAACAGTTGCTATTTACTAAAACTGTACCACCCATTAAAAGCCAAAGCTCTTGAGGGTCATGCAGGAAAAATACAATAGATAGGATAAAAAATACAACAGACAGACTAGAAAGCAATCTGGATGCCTATAATTAGTTTGAGGTAGTGGTCCTTTGTGGACTCATAGTTGTCATCTGTCCCTGAGAAATAATGCAATGTCCCAAATGTGTGTTCTGCTCACAACTCCACCTTTCAGTGTTGTATCATGTTAGAATTTGTAACAGTTTGGGGTGTAGCCAGCAGGCGCTTGAGGTTTCTACCAGTTGTGAAATTGAGAAACCTGAAGGAAGGAACCCCAGTGACCACAACAAAACAATTAGAAATTTAAAAATGAAAAGTTTATTTCTCAACTGTGACCCCAGAGAGTCATTTTAGGTTTGTCTTTTTAAAATACTTCCCTAACACATTTAATGTACCCATCATTTGATGGGGAAAAAAAACCACTTCAAACAATGAAAGTAGGGTGATTTCCAGGGCCCAGGAGAGGAGGGAGATGTGAACGTTGGAGTTTTAAGAGAGCCAGGCTGTCGATAGCTCCTTGGACAGTGGCGACTCCATCCCCTCATCTGGGGTGTTGGGGGGCTCTGCTGGACAAGGCAACTGCTGGCCCGTGCCCCTCACCGCTGTGCTCCTAGCTCTGGCAGGGGTGGTGCAGTGTCAGTCAGCCCTGGTCTGCTGCTCTTAGGTGGGTTTCAGTAAATTCAACTGAGTCCATCACTTCATGAATCCACCTTTAATCAGCTGAGGCCCCTCCTGGGGGACAGGCCAGTGCTCATTGCCATTCACTTGGATGAGTTTTCTCACAGAGAGGACAGCACCTTAAGAAAACTGATCCAGGTCTCCAGCCTACTGTCACCCAGGAATCCATGATAGGGGAGTAAATGATTAAAAGGGGAAAAAAAGTGCCCCTAACTGAAAGCCCAGAGCTTAAAAAATAATCATCTGTCATTTCTGTTCTTGCAGGGAGGGATTCCGGCACCTCCCTTTCCCCATTGAAACTTCCTCAGCTTCCATTTGTTTTGAAGCATGTTTCCATTCCCAAGTACCATTTTGCTTCCATTCAGAAGCAGAAAGACAGAAGAAAGGAAGCAATATGGTTCTGCATGCTTCCGCAGCTAACATCAAACCAGGTGGCCGGTGACTCAGTACGCTCACTGAGTATACTTACCTCTGGCAGCTCTCCTGACCTAGAGCCGCTGGCCCGTTGGCCCTGGCTAGGGTCTGGTTCAGTATGATGTGGGGAAGGGTGAACTAGTTTACTACCCATGAACAAGATGGAGCACACACATGGGAGATAGCTAATACTTTTGTGTTCTCTTAGGCAACTTGATTCAGTCAACAAACAGCCAGCACATTGAATCCCCTGCGTGTGTCAGGTCCTGTGCTGATGGCTGATAAAAGTGAGATGAAACAAAGGCACCTCCTCCCCTCAGGTTCGCACAGTGGACTTGGGGAGACCAATAGGTGCAGAGTGGTGAATGCTGATGAGGTCAGGAGAGACGTCTGGGAGCCCAGAAGCAGACCAAGTTCCATCCTCTGATGTGAGGAAGACTTCACAGAGCAGAGGGCAGGTGCCCACCCCTTAAGGGATGGGTGGGGTTTTCTCATTCATGAGCCTGGAGGTGGGGAATGTCAGCAGGACTGGATCTCCCTGCATGAGAGTGGGGAGTTGTGTGGGCAGCATGGACCTTTTCCTCAGGGGTTGGCTTGAGAGTGTGGTAGAGTCACAGGGCACAGGGCCATCAAGGTGGGCAGGGGTCAGATCGGGGAGATTCTGTGCACTGACTTAAAACACTGATACTGTTTCCAGAGGCCTGACCGGGTACTTCCTGCCTTTCTCTAGTTAATTCTGGAAAATGGGTCACCAAGAAGATAGGGTTGTCAGATAAAATACAGAACACCAAGTTAAGGTTAAATTTCAGATACACAATGAACAAATTTTTTTTGTTGCATTATTCACTGTTTATCTGCAATTCAAATTTAACTAGGTGTCCTGTGTTTTAGTTGCCAAATTTGGCCACCTTAAGAGAAGATCATTATAGAGCAGAATGTGTTTATCTGACTAAATATCACCCTTGGAGGTTATTAACTCAACCATGGGTTAAACATTAATTCAAAGATGTAACCAAAAATATGTTAAAGCAAAGATACAAGAATTATAAACTTCTATCTTGATTTAAGATTGTTAAATTATGCTTTGCCACCTATAAAATGGGTGTAAATATGCTGTGCGCTCGCCATATAAGAGGCTAATCTTCCTACAAATGTACCTACAGATCATAAAATACTAGTGTCATAAACTTGATTGATTTAAAACTAGTA